CCGGACTCACAGAAGACGAGATGCTCATGGCTGTATCCGAGCTACTCGTCGGTCCTGCCCTCGTCTGGTACGAAGCAATGCGAAACGAATGGTTCTCCTACGCGGACTTCGAGGCAGACGCGAGAGCATGGTTTGGGACCAGCAGGCAACAACAGCAGCGTCTAACGAAAGAGGTTCAAAGCCGATATCAGGGCCCAGACGAACCCGCGAACGTCTACATCGCGAACATGATGGGCCTAATGAGTCGGCTGAACCCCAAAATGAAGCACGAGAACCAGCTGGACCTGCTACATGCCAACCTCCTCCCGGAAATCCAGAGCCAAATACGGAGATCAGAAGTGGACTCCGTACGGACCCTGAACGACCTGGCCACGACGGCCCAGAATAACTTGCATCAGCGAAGGATGGAGCGGACGATACCGGACCCTCAGTCGACTCTATATCCTCAGTTGGTATATCACCCCCGTACCGACGCGAGCAAGGGTCGTAAGGGGAAGGTGGCATCTATGTCCGGTGACAAACCGGAAGTGAATGATAGGTTGGACCGCGTGGAGAAGGTACTCGAGAAGGTGACGCACCAGGTCGTCTACACGCCGACTCCCTCGGGGGCGACACCTAATCCGAGCCTGGAATCGGTCGATGGCGAGAAGAAGGTTCTACCCACCGACGTATTCAACCAAATGCTGTTGTCCCTTATGGAAATATCGGCGGATATAAAGAGTAACCGCGCCGACAAAAGTCTGACTTCCGAGGACCGGGCCAAGAGGCCGGAGACTCCCCGCAGCCGAGGAAGAGAGTTGTCGGGGCCGATCAAATGTGCCGAGTGTGGCCTACTGGGGTACTACAGGAAGTTCTGTCCCCAATGCAATAAGGGAAACGAGCATTCCGTAACCAAAACCCCGTTGAAGAAATCTCGCGGCCTTCGTCAACACAGCCGTTGGGCGCCACTTGTGGCAGGGAATTTCGGGGGGTTTGACCGCGCTCCGAGTTCTTCCGCCACAAGGCCTGTTTGGCTCTACCCCCGATTATTTAGGGCGCCAGACCGTCGGCTGATTACGGCGATCGTCGCGGGTAAGGCCAGTAGGGTTACGCGTATCCCGGTCTGCCTAACGGCGACTGCGCAGATTGGGCAAAGGGGGATACGCGTTGTATCCGAGGTTCAGGCCTTTGGTGTTCAACTTTCCTTCGATTTCTCCTTAATTAGAGTACGCCGGCAGCTCAGATGATGACTCCTCAAGTCAGGTCGTGAGGGCGTTCGAAATCGCGCGTATTTTACCTAACGAATAATCCGAAAATATAGCGAATTAATAAACCCGTATGTAACCGACCGCGGCTGAAAATCACTAACATGCAACAGGGGCAGGTTATCAAATAAGATATATATGTATATACAGACAATTAATAGTTTTATTGATGCATTAAAAGTTTCTCACATACGAGGTCGGACTAAATGTGGTCGGTCAAATCCTAAATTTTCATTAATCCCTGAGATACAATTTAAACGGTTCCTAAAATGGCGGAAAGGTCAGCGCGAGTAACAAATCGCAATTTTCTTTTGTAAGACGTAACATTCAAATTCGGTTTGCAAAATGGCGGAAAGGTCAGCGCGAATAATTAGTCAAAACAATTTAATTTAATCGAACCTACGTTTGTACTAAATGACTAACGAAAGGTCAGCGCGAATACTAAATTGCAATTTTCCTTTGTAAGACAAACACTTGATAAAAGTTGACGAATGGTCGGCGCGAATACTAAGTCGCCATTTTCTTTTGAAAACTCTAACACTTAACAGAAATTGACGAAAAGTCAGCGCGAATAATAAGTTGCAACTTTCTTCCGTAAAATCTAATAATTAATAAAAGTCGACGAAAGGTCAGCGCGAGTACTAAGTCGCAAATTTCTTTTGTAAACTTTACACTCAATAACTGGTAAACGAAGGTCAGCGCGAATCCTAAATCGCGAATCTCTTTCGTAAACCGAACACTCAATTTAAATTCGCGGAATGGCGGACAGGTCAGCACGATTCTATAGGTACCGACGTCGACGGATCCACGCGTCGCGACGACCCACCGCACCGAACCAAACAAATTAAACAACTCAACCCGCACTCCGCGATTAATTAATATGAGTGGCACTTTGCCTACTTACAATTTTCTCCTTGTAATACTGGCAAACCAAAATTGGTAAAAGAGAATTTAGGAGGCGTCTAGCGCTAGAAGTTCGACGGCGAAAATTAGCTAACAGAGCTCCTTATCTCCAGATGTCCAATGGCAAAATGGACGAGAATCGGCTTCTCGCGGTCAAAGATCGTTTCTCTTCTCCTCTTTCCGAGAAGAAATATTATTATTGGTCGGTATGCTAATTCGGATATCGGTAGCGCCCTCCGGATTTTTATCATTGGTCCGTATGTAAATTAGAATAATACAGCGCCCTCCTTAACTCTCCTACTTTCGTCGTTATTTACTCTCTCTCACCCCCCACTAAGGTATCTATCATTAATTGTCGGAAAAGATCTACCCCTACTCTTATCTATTCGTCTATGCGGACGGAAATCAAATTTTATTCTAATTTGCCTATTGGTCGTGACGTCACTAGCGAATTTTGTCAGATGTTCGAATTCGGTCAGTAAAATTATTATTAAATCTAAAGGGGGTAGTTGTCGCTCGCTATCATAATAGGGGTGTCGGTCGTGTGCGAATTTTACAATTTAATATTTATTTCGTGTTCATTCTTTTTCAATTTATAATTTTAACTTTAATGTCAAAGATACGTATATAATATACGCCGTTTCATTTGTAGCGCCCTCATCTTCGCATTTACATATTATTCTATTATTTTATATCGTCTGTCTCGCTCGCTCTTGTTTTGTCTATTTCGCTCGCTCTGTCTCGCTCGTTCTGTCTCAGTCTGTCTCGCTCGCTCTTGTTTAGTCTGCTTCGCTCGCTCTGTCTCGCTCGCTCTGTCTCAGTCTGTCTCGCTCGCTCGCTCTCAGTCTATATCGGCGCTTCAAGATGCCCGCTCAGTTTCTCGCGCGTACGCCTCGTGTCCTCGTGCCGGTTGTTGGAGCGCCTCCTGGGGCGCTCCCGTGTCGGTTCTGTGGTGTTTTTCCGGGTGTTAGTGTGTGGTCGCTGATTTTCGTGTATGTGTGGCGCTCAGGATGTCGCCGATGGTGTTCGGCAGCCCGACACAGCTGATTGCCGGCTGCCACTTCATCGGCGATTTTCTGCTCGCCCCAGGAGTGTCAGTGCCTCGTGAGTGTTCGTGTCGGTGTCTGGGAGTGTAACGGATCTGCATGTGTCATCAACATGCATCTCCGTTGCATTTCCCAGTCAGGTTTTGCGTTTTTCTTTTGCCGGCCGGCAACACGTGGTCGGGAGTGTCTGTGAGTGAGTGTGTGCGTGCGCTCTCTTTTTTCCTGTGGTGCGCTCCTTTTTTTTTTGTGTCTGCTTTTCGAGCGTCCGTCGGATCGCGTTAGACAGTTTGCTTCATCGATATTTCCGGCGTGGTCGTTCGGACATGGAATATAAAAATTGTCTGGGATAGGGCTTGTTTAGCTTTAATTTACACAACCGGTTACGGGGCGGCAAGGGACGGGGATGGCCTTTCTGAGGTGTTGCAAACAATGCAGAACTCAGGGAAGGCCTTGTAATGTGCCACATTACAGAACCCCCCACTAAGCCGGTACACTACCACGTGTACCGCCAGTTTGTTTTATTCCCTTTCCTTGCCGTCTCGTTCTCAGTTATCGTCAGATATACCAACATCTTACCTGGTGGGGTTGTCCCCCTTGGTCCGTGGTCTGCTCTGGTCGGAGTCCGGTGCGTGCTGAGTCTGCTTGGCTGCATCCTCTCTTCTCCTTGGTCCATAAAGTCCAGTGGCTGGGTCAGCAAGGATGGGTCAGGAGGGTTTGGAAATCAAGACGCAGGTTGGTCAGTTTAAGCCAGGGCTTGGCCCTGGCATTTATTCTGGTCAGTACATGTGGTGGTCCGCTGGCGGTTAATGGTACCCACGCCTGCGGGAGCGATCGCGCCTCTCCATCTCCTCCATCTCTTGGAGGGCGCGCTGGAGCTGTTGGAGCTCCCTCAGGCGTAGGTCCCGGTCGTCCTCCTCGTCGGAGGTCCCGCGGTGACGTGATCTCCGGAGCAGTTCCCTCGCTCTCTCCTCCGCCGATGGCCTGGCGGAAGAAGCGGAGGGTCCGGCGCGGGGTATCGCTCCGGTGTCAGCCGTCGGCCTCTCCCTCGCTGGTCTTCCCCGGTATGGAGCTCGGCCTCGGGTTGCCTCCTGGTATGACGGTGGAGGGTCCTCCGTCTCCCGAGGATCCGAGCTCAGCTGGGCTGCCTGATCTTGGTGGCGGGGCTCGTATATTAGGTTCCGGTCCCAACCGGACCCGGAAGAAGTGGACGCTGGTCTGTCCACTTCGTCCCACCCACTCCGTCGGCTGGTGGTCGGTCGAGGTCTCGGTGGAGGGATGTCGTTCCCCACCGGGTTGTTCGAGCCCGAGGAGCCGTGTCGGCGGTGGTATGCCTCGGCACACCTCGGGCAGTCGAAAACCTCGACCCCCCGCCGGCCACAATTTCCGCAGAACGTCCCCTCTTTGGAACGGGGACAGTTCCCGAAATTGTGGTCGGTTTGCCAGCAATTAAAGCATGCTCGGAGGGGGGGATCAACTGTCGGGTCGGTTGGGATCTCCCTCAACTGCCCGAACCCAGCTCCGGTCCGGCGAGGGAGTCGACCCCAGGATGGTGTCTTGGCCGCAGCAGCTGGTCGTGTTGCTGCGCGGCTGGTCGGGGGTCCAGGTAGGTCATCCTCCGATTCTTCGGAGGATAGATCTCCTGCACCCACCAGATCGTCCAGCTGCAGGTGGCGCCGCGGATTGTATTTGCGGCGCTTGCCGCTGGCCGTCCGGTAGTGCAGGCCCTGGACCTCTGGACGGTCGACAGGATCCATCCTGGATGTCGCTATTGGCCGGGTGGTGGTGGTTCGGTCAATTGGGGTCGAGGTCACAGGCAACCAGCCTGGGTGGCCTCGACTCCTTGAGGCCGACGGCTGGATGGTGGTGGAGGTCGATGGTCGGTCGGCTGTGGTTCTGGTGGATCTGTCGGCGGCGGTGGTGGATGGTCGGTGGCTGGTGCTGGTGGATGGTCGGTCGGTGGCTGTTGGTGGTTGCGCGGTGAATTGTCGGTGGTTGGCTGCGGGGGTTGATGGCTGGTCGGTGTTTCTGGAGGTGGATGGTCGGTCGGCTGCGGTGGTGGATGGTCGGTCGGCTGCGGTGGTGGATGGTCCGTTGGCTGTGGTGGTGGTGGTTCTGACGGACGACTGGGCGATGTTGGCGGAGATGGTGGAGGTCGATGGTCTCATTGTACCTGGGCGTCGGAGTGTAGGGGGCGGAGTTGATGTTCTAGCTGGTTGGGGGTTGATGGTCTCCCCCTTTCCAGCCAGTACTGACTCCGCGTCCCCGCCCAGGTAGTCCTCCAGCTCTTTCTCCGCTTGCCCGTCCAGGGACAACTGGGACCCTTTTGAGGTGTCCGAACAATGGGATTTTAAGGTCCCATGTTCGGACGGAATCTCAGTTGTCCTGCCGTCCGTCTGGTCTGTTACCATTTCCTCCCGGATGGCGCGGACCACCTCCATTCGCTGGCGTTCCTCACGCCTCCAGTCCGACTCAGGGATGCGGGCCTGGAACGTGAGGGCCCAGCGAAGAAGGCGCTCCCGCTCTTGGCCTTCCGGGAGTGGTCGAGGTGGCTCCTCCTGTTGCTCCTGGTCCGCCACCTCCATGGCCTCCAGGCGAGCCTTCTCCTGCTCGATTTCCTCCACCATGTCCTGGATATACCAGGCCGACGGATCTTCTGTCGGGGGGGGGCTCGATGATGGGCTGAGCCCCTACCCTGTCCTGGTACCCAGGCATGGTGGCAAGTGCCCGCAGGCGAAGGCTCTCCTCATTGCGGTCAGTTTCTGGGGCCTGAGCCGGTGTGGCTTCCCGCTTCCTGGTCCCCGTGATGGTCCTGGGGACGGCGGACAGCGGGATCTTCACTGTAAGACTCAGGCCCTTCTTCTTTGCTATGAGGATCCTTGGGGCCATGGTAGATCTGAAAATTAAATAGGTTAGTGCAATGGTCTGTAGGGCAGTATCGGGACAGTACAGTGCATGCACTTATCTGCTGAGGGGCGTAGCTTAGTCGACGACTACACCCCCCACTAAGCCTGGAGAGGCTAGCCTGTCCAGGCGTGGGACAGCACATCTAGAGGTCAAACACCAATTGCCGCGGAATCAATCCCCACGCCACAACCGTGTTAGTACGCGAGTTAACCCTATAAGTCGGACAATACAGGGTAAGGTCAGATCGGTCAGATTATCTATGTTCTCTTCATTTTAGTTTTATTTAAGGTCATAATTATTCTTGTCAGAGTTCTTAAAAGGTTTCAGTTGTTCAATATGAACTTTACCAACTTTTTTCTTTGTCAATGTCTCGATGGTAAATACTGTGTCTGAAAGTTTATCTAGCAATTTGAAAGGTCCTTCATATTTTTCGCTTAATTTGGTCGAAAACTTATTTGCTGCATTTGATAGGTTATGTGTTTTGATCAATACTAGGTCTCCGGTTTTATATTCGGTCAACTTTCTTCCAGTATTGAATCGGTCAGCCATTTTCTCATGCTTTATTTCTAGGTTCCTTTCAACTAGTTCATATAGGTCTTTTAATCTTTTAAGCCTTTCTGTCCATTCCTCTGGTTCTAGTGTCAGTTCTAGTTCGTTTGATTCTACTTTTCTCCGTAAACTTTTTATTAGTTTCGGTTGTCTGCCGTAATTCAGGAATGCTGGGGATGTTTGAGTAGCTGATTGTATTGCCGTGTTCATGGCGTGTCGGAACTCATTAATATGTTTATCCCAATTCCTGTGGTCATTTTCAACGAACATTGCTATCATCGTTTTTATCGTTCTATTACTTCTTTCGACGGGGTTAGCTTGTGGATGATATGGGACTGTCGTGTTGTGTCTAATACCGTATTCCTGTAACATGCCGTCTAAATGTTTATTGACATATTCTTTCCCATTGTCGGTCAGTATGTAGTCAGGTGTTTCCCATCTGAATATGACGAGTTCTTCTAATGCTTTCGCAACGTTTTTCCCGTCTGCAGAGCGTACTGGTTTCATTTCCACCCAACGTGTGAAGAGGTCTTGGAAAACTAAGAGGTATTTATTTTGTGTATTGCTTCGGGGAAATTCCATTGTGTCAATTGCTACTATTGCCCACGGTCGGTCTATTTTCCGTGGTTTCATAAGGCCTTGTTGGCCTAGTTGGCTGGATTTATATTTTTGACATAGAGGGCATCTTGTGACGAAGTTGTAAGTGTCAGTATACATCCCTCGCCAGTAATATTCGGTACTAATTCTCATATACGTTTTCTCTATGCCCAAATGTCCCGCTACCGGAAGACAGTGTGCGTTTTTCATAATTTCCATTTGGTATTCGTCAGGTACTACCAGTTTCCATTCCGTTTCTCCATTTGTTAACGGGTCCATAATCGGGTCTGGTCTGTTATAATATAGCATGTCGTCTTCGATTTTCCAGTCAGGGTATTTGTCTGGTTTTTCTTTTACGTCTTTACGTTTTTTCAGGTACCAGTTGTCTTGTATTGTTCTGAAGGCTGCGATTTTGTTAGCCTCTTCATCCATTCGTGACAGGGCATCAGGTACTTTATGCATCGTGCCTTTACGATGTTTAAAGGTCACGCGTTCTTGCATCAGGTCGCATATCCATCTTCCTAGTCTACCTTTTGGTTCTTTTATGTTAAATAGGTATATTAGTGCTGAATGGTCAGTAATAACTGTATAGTCATATCCTTCAAGGTACGGTCTGAGTTTCTTGATAGCATATACTATTGATAATAATTCTTTCTCTGTTACTGAGTAATTTCTTTCTGGTCCGGTCAGTGTTCTGCTAATATATGCTATTGGATGTTCGCCGTCATCAAAGTTTTGAGTTAATACGGCGCCAATTGCAAAATCGCTTTAATCTGTCTGAACCGTGAATGGTCGGGCGAAGTCTGGTCTTGCTAATACTGGAGCTTCTGTTAATGCTCGTTTCAGCTTGTCGAATGCTTCTTGTTGGTCAGTTTCCCAGTTGAATACTTGATGCTTCTTTAGAAGTTTTTGTAACGGTACCTTTATTTCCGAACAATTTTTTATGAATCTCGAGTACCATTCGACCATTCCCAGGAAGCTACGTAGTTGTTTTACCGTTTTGGGTACTGGAAATCCTAGTACTGTTTTAGTCCGGTCTGGGTCAGGTCGTAATCCTTCTTGGTCTAGCAGAAAGCCTAAGTAATTTAAACGGGTACAGCCGAATTCGCATTTTTTCGCATTTATCTGCAGTCCAGCTTCATTAATTCGGCGTAGTACTAATTCTAAATATTTCGTATGTTCATCGAAGGTCTCAGTTGCTATAATGATGTCATCAAGGTATGGAAATACTTGAGGTTCCCAGTCAGGTCCAAACAATGCGTTAGCTAATCGTTGAAAGGTCGCTGGGGCATTGACGAGTCCGAATGGCATAACTATGAACTCCCACAATCCTTCACCTGGGCTTGCAAAAGCTGTATATTCACAGCTGTTTTCATCTAGGGCTACTTGGAAGTAGGCCTGTTTAAGGTCAATTTTGCTAATATATTTGGCGTGTCGTAATTTGTCTAGTATTGAGTCCATGTTAGGCAGTGGATATGCGTCTTTCCTTGTGACCTTATTTAAGTCACGAAAGTCAATGCAAAATCTCCAGGAACCGTCAGGTTTTCTTATCATTACTGGAGCGCTACGCCATGCACTTTTGGACGGTCGGATGATGCCCATTTCGTACATTTTTCGTATTTCAGTTCGTACTATTTTTTGTATTGCGGGTGACATTCGTCGTAGTCCTTGTCTTATTGGTTGGCTATCACCTACATCTATTATGTGCTTTACTATCGGTGTCCTTCCTAGTTTGTCAGTCATAGGTGGTATTAAACGATCCGTTATTTCTTTGATTCGTTTAGATTGGTCAGGTGTAATTTCTGTGAGGCCAGCGCATTCTGCGTAGAAAGCTTCTCGTTGTGTCAGTTGTCTAGGTTGTAGATGATGCCATTTACCATTATGTACTTTCCATTTCCTTTCTCGGAAAAGTATGAGCATGTTCCACTCTGTCAGAAAGTCTAGACCTAAGATAATTGGCGGTCCAGGTAGGTTTTTCATTGCCTTAAATCTGAATTTCTGCGTATGTCCATCGAAATCAATCTGTAGAGGGAGTTCACCAATGGTTTTCTCGGTTTTTCCCGTGATTCCTTGTATTGTAGTGGAACTAGGCGTTAGTCTTTCTTTGAATCTGTCTGTTATTTCCGGTCCTACCAGTGAGAGTTCTGCTCCTGAGTCAACTAAGGCGTCATATGCTATATTACCGATAATAATTGGTATGAAACACCTACTGTCTGAGCTTAACCCTCCTATAGACTGTGGGGGTGCGGTTAATATCGCTGATTTGTTTTTGTCTTTAGTCTCATCCAAAACTTCCTGTTGTCTTTTATCAGGTTCCTTAGCTGTTGGTAGGTCTGATTGTAAGGGTATTGTCAGTTCTTCGTCTTTTGTTTGTATTATCTCTTCCTTGTCTAGGAATTTCACGGTTTTTATAATTCTTTTAGGCGTTCCTTCAGGTTTTTCTTCAGGTATAACAGTATCTATTTTGTCTGGGAATTCTATTATTTGGTCTGTTATTGTTGGAATCTGATGGTCGATGTCGTTCATTATTATTACTTTTTCAGCTGGTGGAAATGTTAGGTTTTCCACTGACTGTTCGCTGTTTTGTATTTCCCCATCCATGTCAAATAGTAACGTTTCTTGGTCCTTGAGGCGTTTTAGTAACTTATTGAGTGGTTCCTCATCAATCCAGGATAATTCTTGCCCATTTATTGGAGTGGTATGTCTGTCGGTGCAGTTTTCATCCTCCTCTGATGTCTGGTTGTTTATCCCTCTATCGTCATCTGATGATTTTTCCCATATTGGGCGAGTATTTTCTTCTGAGTCCGTATCAATTTCTATATGGGAGGCCATTTTCATGGTTATTTCCCCTATGTGGTCATGTTGGCCCATTATTGGGAATCGGGGGGAAGCAGTGGGCTCGTCTGCTCCCCACCTAGCGCGTTTCCCAACAACTCAGAACGGATATGTTGGCAAAATTTGCAAAAGTCAAAAGGCGAGCCTATGTTTTTACAAACTTGACAATGTGTCTGTCTTATTCTTGGTCCTGTTTTTGGGAATAAAGATTCTCTTTTTGGGCAGGATGCTGCATAATGACCTGGTTGGTAACAGAAGAAACAAGGGTTCTTTGGGCATTGTCGGTAGTTATGATCACCTTGACAGCATTTGCATGGTTCTCTGTCTTGTCTGTCGGTCTGATTATCATTATTCATTCTATTATCATTATCTGTTTGATTGTTTTGAAATGGTATCAGTGAAGGCAAATTCCATCTTGTCTCCACACCATTCGATGTCGGTATTTGTTGATTTTGACTGTAATTTTGTTTCTGTTGGTTCCGGAAATTTATTCTGTCATTAGTCTGATTGTTATTTGCTGTCTGTGATTTTTCTTGGCTTGTCCATGTCCGTTCTTGTTTGACTGGTGGGAAGCCCAAGTATTGGTGAGGTCCTTGGTATGCTGCGATTTGTGCCATCATGGGTGCAGCATATATATTTCCTTGTTTGGTCTGTTGTTGTTGCATGTTATTTTGTTTTGTCTTATTTGTATTGTCTTTTCTATTATTATTTTGAAGGTTTTCACGTGTATTGTCAGGTTTTGTTCCAATTTTCTGTACCGCTGAGGTTTTTGCTATCCTCTTATTGGTTTTTGGAGCTGCTGCTGGAAAATGTGTCTTGGTCGAAGGTGGATGGTATTGTTCATCCATTTCCTCCAAATCTTCCCATTTTCGGCCGTAATATGTCAGATCACTGAATCTTTCTATCCGTTTGTCAGACATGTATTTCCGGTATGTCGGAAGGAGTCCTCGTCTAGCGATTTTAATTTGTTGTCTCAAGGAAATAGGGCGCTTAAAATGGCT